TCGTTATTGGTTCGTGCTTCGTCGTGTCACGGACGCTCTTCATGAAATATAAAGGGTAACCATTGGTGTACACTGTGTCAAACATAAAATCGCTTCAAGCGTGTGCGGTGTTCAAACTAGCTTGACACGATGGAACAATGTCCGGACCAGAGAACATTTACGTTATATTGGTGAGAAGCCTTTACAGTGTAGATATTGGACGGTCCAGGTTGCTCTCCGATAGACTGACTGCTTGATGGAACCATCCGGCTTGGTATGAGCAAAACTTCGAAGTATTAGTAGCCGTGATCGTGCTCAGCCTCACAGGTTATGGTGAGGTTTGGACGCATAGGGTTGTGCGTAAAGTTGCCTGCACTGTGCCATCATCTGAATCCATGAGTATAAGTATGTCATCCACATATAGTTTGTGCAGCTTCGCCGAGCTTATTGTATCATCGCACTGCCCTACAATCATGCTGAGGAATACCTCTGCGAGAAAAGGACCCAGCGTGTTACCCATTACCACACCGTCTATTTGCCTATACGCTCTCCCTTGAAAGTAAAATTTCACGTTCTTCGTACACCAAAGTAGCATATGCTTGACATTTCCGTAGAAAGCCACAGCTTGATATTGTTTTGCGAGATAAATTCAGTTAGGTGATCCACGATTTCCTCCAGCGGAACTTCGGTGAATAGCAACTGCAATTCAAGCGAACATATTCGCTTTTGTGCCAAGTTTATTCTTTACAAGTGAGAAGTAATTCGAAAGTGTTTGACAAAGTGGGTCACCCCACAGCTTATATCAAAACTGATATTTCTGTTTAGATGCATCAAGGGAACTTTTGTTTCAACCATCTTGGATCGTTGTGTCTTGCATAACGCAGGCCCATTCATCACAAGTGACCGTTAAATGTCTTTGGAATCTTCACGATTCGATACATTCCGCTAATTTTGAACGGGAGAATCCAACGATGGAGACCTCTCCGAGGCGGAGGGATCACGTAACAATTATTTAAATTGTGCATGTTATGAGAAATATTCACAAGACCATAGTGACTTGTTTCGAACAGTCACACATCAAGACACATTTAGGGAAGTTGTTGAGAATGCCATTTAGGAATTTTCCAACTATTATTCCATTGATACTGCATGAATATAGTTTCCTGAAAAGTTCAGCGATCCGATTAAATCCGTATCGGTAAACAGGCTCATACGTTCGGCAAGAACCCCTTCAGTTATTAGCATCAATACCCGAAAATACCTGGCGTTAAAGGAGACAGGGTGGCATGTATATAGGAAGAACCCTAAGCATAGCAACTGGAGTTACTAAGCAGTGCATCATAATCACTGTAGCACACATGTCTGTGATGAGAAATCAGTACACCTAGCAGAGTCTAGCAAAAAGGTTCTATGTTAACAACAAGCTTCTGTACAGACAAGTGAACAGACTCCGGAATGTGTAGCTTGGTGTTCTCTCACTCAATTCAGCAAATGCATGTGCTCAAACTTCTGAGGATGTAACCAACGTTCTACGGCTGCAATATGCTTTACTATTTCGATGTGCCACCAGCATATGTTACATACCTGTCCCATTCCCCCAGGCGCCAGTATTCACAAATGTCACTAAGAGTTCAGTGACCGCTTTGAGGAAGTTGTTATCGTTTCGCACCCATAGTTCTCGAGAGTTGACACCACTTTCCCAAAAGCACCTCAGGTGGCGCGTAAGAGGATAGCTGAGCCATTAGCTCGATTTTTCCAAAGACGTTCGAATGAACAGTAAGTCTCCAACATGTGGAAGCAGGGCGTCATCACTTCGAATTTCAAGGCTAGTACCAGTGTGGAGCTCATCAACTATCGCCAAGGGACTCTCCTCCCGCTGCTCTCAAAGGTGATGTAGTCGATTACAGTTGAGGCGCTCATGGGTTACTTTGTAAGGCCTAACATCACCGCACAGGATCAACTCGAATTCCGTCAGTATCGATCATGTATTACCAAACTTCTGAACGCGCGTGGCATTTGGACCGAAATAGCCGACAGTGGGACGGGCACTGAGCTCATCTACCCCGACTTTTCTAAAGCATTTACCCGCTTAGATCATCAAATGCTTCTCCAGAAGCTACATCTGTACGGAATTGTGGACCCGGTCTTTGCATGCACTGGAAATTTCCTTCTTCAGCGGCGGCTTCAGATACGTGTTATGGTCCATTTTCTGATAATATGGAGGTGTAGTGTGGCTTCCCACATGTATCGGTGTTAGTGCTGCGCCTATTCCTATTTTTCAACAACGACTTCGAGCTTGTCATCCAGTCGAATTTCCTGCTTTTTGCAGATAACATCAAGATATGGCGTTCTGTCGGTTTTCAGGACGATCACGGGACGCTAGATAGAGACTCAGACCGTACTTTGAATGGTCAAATTTAATGCCCTTTAACGCGAAAAGGTGCAAGACTGTACATGTACGCTACGGGCCCACGTACGTACCTAACCTCTTAGACCACATGCTGTAAACCGCCTCACAGGAGCCTGATATTGTGGTGGTGATGCAAGCCGAACGAGACTGTTGGTTACACTCCATTAACCCTTTGACTCCTGGTGGTACTCATAAATACCAGTTTGTTTAAATGGTAACACAGCTTCAGAGCAAGCTTCTTTCTTGCCGGTACTCACGAAAATACGTACAATAGCCTTCTGTCAACAAGTAAGTAAGGGCCAGAACTTCGACACTTGCTCTACAGTGTGTGGAGGAAAATTTTGTGTTTCACGTCGAGCCATACGTAGATTAATTCGGGTGTCAAAGATTTAAGATGTCCAAAAGCGCTAACAAACATGTTGATCTCTTACGCAGGGTGGTTTGACTTCTCCATCTTTCGCCAAACGCTCAATTGGTATGTGAGGTCCCATGAGGAAGGAGTACGTGATTCAGGCCTAGCCACCTTGGTTGAAACGCTGTCTGATTGTGCTGGATACCGCACAACGAAGGGTAACCAAAGGGATTGCTTTACCAGTCATACCACCTGCGAATGAAAAGTTTCAGAGTGCACAGCGGAAGTTCTCGTTGTCAACGGGGCAACCTCACACTGGTGTACCAAATACTGCAAAACCCTAGTCAGACTTGCCTCCACATAATGAAACAGCGGCAACACAAAACTGTGGTGTCACAAGCTGAAACGGACTGCGCAATATAGTCGTCTGAAAGGCTGCAGGAAATCCAATTTTCTTCGAATTTTCTACCCCTGGAACATTATTTCGACTTCCATATTTTCTGCGCCCACGCTTCGCATGTTAAAAGACGACTGCCATCCGCCCTAGTAGTTTCCAACCAGTTTTATCAAAAGCGATGAAATCGGTACTCGCACATTAACTGATGCGATACTTTGAAAGTTTATAAATAATGTTTAATACCTAACATGGTTTCAGACGCAGGCGACCTTATCTCACCAATTTTCTGCTTATTCGGGACACACGGTCCATGGCGGCTGATGAAGGAGTCCCCATAGATGTTTTTTACTTAGATTTTTCTATAGCATTCTACAGGGTCAATCATTTCTTTCGCCACGAAATGCTTGCTGACTACGGTATCAGCGGTTTCCTGCTCAACTAGTTGGAAGACTACTTATACGATAGAGCAATAAAGGTGAGTGTAGCCGACACTGACTCCGAAAGCCCGTACATATCCAGTGGTGTACCGCAAAGATCCGTATGCGGCACTCTGCTGTTTTTAGTCGACATCAATGACCTTCCAGGAAACATTCTTTCCACAATGCATATATTCGCAGACAATGCTACTATCTAGAGAGCGATTCGTTCAGCATCCGCCCGCGTCAATTTCAGGAATATCTGACTCGGAGTAACGAATGGGCAGCGTGGAAACTGCTCTCAGTTAACCTTGCAAAGTGCCACCTGATGACGGTGCGTAGCAGCTTCAACAACACGTACCCTTTGAGGCAACACGTCTTGCATTACGTGACCAGTGAACGCGCCAGGTATAATCGTGCTCCAGTGTTCAAAGACAGTAATTGTGGTGAACTTGAACTTCAGGCTTTTGAGGCGATCTCTCGACCCATTTGAGCGACGGCTAATACCATTGTTGATGAAGTCGTGTATTCATCCCTTCATTGGATACGCAATTCAGGCCTGGTGTCCATGGTTAAAACGAGACATTCGCCTTTCGGAGCAACCCCAGTGAAGAGCCACGAAGGCAACGCGTGGACTATCCGGTTTCAGTTACGAACTGCGCCTTTGTTTACTCGGTATGTTCTCCTCAGAATACCGACAGCTTTGTAGGGACCGCATTCTCACATACCGGATACTAACTGAGCACGAGCACCAATATAAATCTCTGCTAACTCTAGCCCTTTAAAAGCAATGTAATGGCAACCACCTTAAACTAACGAGGCAGCAATCCCGTTTGAATTGCGCAGTGTCTTTACTCACTTGGAATCTGTTCGCACTGGACTGCACTACTAACACATGTGGTGAACGCACCAGACATTCCGACATTCGAAAGACTATTAGACTTTCATCTTAGTGATAGGCGAGGCACAACAGTTTGATAAAGTGCAATGTCTTAACCATTGATAATTGAGGCTCCACTTTGGAACATTTTTATACTAATTTCCTTTTACAAATCCATCCTATGAGTCATAGAAAATTATGCTTTAATCCCTTCATACCTTGTTGAACTAGTGAATATTGGACTCGGCGACGCATTACAATACCTGCATTACCTGATTTGATTTCTGTTCACAGTGACAACAGGACTCACACAAACTCTGTGCTCTTCAGCCGTCACGAAATCGGTGTAAACGGATATCTAGCGTGTATAGACGGATACACATGTGCGTTAACGAACATAACTTGATTTGCAGTGGATTTGTATATTATACTACAAATACCGCGGTTAGTCCATGGTGTGAACCTAATTTTGCTGACAATTTTTCCTATGTTTTGAATATTCAACATGATCACACTGAGAGAAGTTTTGAGCTTTACCTACTTTACCCGTACAAAACTATTGTTCTCTTGTGAGGTTGCCTTCTAATATTGAGATGCTGAGAAAAGTACAAAGCTAATATGCTTTGTGTATAAAACAATTTGTAGTTAGTTAATAAAATCGGAGAATGATTGCATTTAAAGCAGTTGTAAAACTTACATTTCCGCAAAAGACAGCATAAAACGAATACATTTAACGTCTCGAAGATTTCAAATCATATTGATCTTCTTTCTGTACATAGTCAAAACTCTCTTATCCAACTTAACCTCTTCTAAGAACCAAAAATGGTTGAACATTATAACGAGTCGTATTCTTATTATTACAAGTTCGCTGGTGTGGGTTCTCGATCAATGCCTATTTTGCTTCGGTGGAGACTGAGATTTGATGACTTCACCGAACCCAGCGATTGACGGTAACCATGTTGTGTAGGTCCACCTAGTAGACTCCGGGAACACCGCAACGGGATTTCAACTGGTCCTGCGATTGTTGGAGCATAGCTATCAGAATTCCTTATTGGTCGGATGCAGTGTTTTTCCGGAGATGCACGTTCCAACTTCCATGGATGAGATTCTTGAGTGTAAGTCATTTTTGTAGGATTTAGATATGAAGATTGAGGTGGATTGAGAAATGCAGGGTTCATGCTTGACTTTGTTTTGATGGGGGGTTTTTCTAATACCTGAAAGGATGGTACCCAAATTAGTAATCTGTTTTACGTTCGCACAAAACTCAGTATGAGGATAAGATAAACTTTGCTGAGGGTATAATGGGTAGTTTATGCCACGTTAAATAAATGTTTTATAAGTATGCAAGTATAAACACCAATAAAGCTTTCACTCTTTTCCTTGTTAAGTAAAGAGTTAAATGTTGAATTGCAGAATGATTCGCAAAGACGAAATTAGTGAAACGGTTTGCAACTGAAAATTTTGTGCAGGGTGAATCAGAAGAACATGATTTTGTTATTAATTGCGAATTATAGAAAAAGGTTATCAGATATGGCTCTTAAGTTGTCAGATGAGGAAGTTGTAGATATTTATAGAAATGTCGTCGAATAGTAAGCTTTATTCCTTAGAAAGTGCACGCCGTTACACAACTTTCGAAATTAACACCATATACACAATCTCACATTTACTGTGCATAAGCATAGATAAGTCTATTTCACATTGTTGCATCAACGCCGCTAGGTTTGTGCTCTGTACAGGTTACCCGGTATGGGTTTCAACCATTATTGCGGACTGGCTTACACTGCAAGTGTATCGTTAGCCTTGTCAACTACTGGCAAAGACGGAAAAACAGCTAGACTGCGTGAACAACCATTATTTAGCTAAAGGCCTTCTCAACTTTTACTAAACAGCCCAGCACAACAATGCTACCTGAATTTTAGGGCTACTTGACCTAGATTTAGCACCTGTACGTAGCAATGATTTTTACTTCATTGTAGTCAAAATAAATTTCCTACATTCTAAGCAGTTTTTACTACGGTTAGTTGGGCTAAATTGTGTCCGCGAGAACTGCCCCATAGTTGCAACTCTAGATTTAAACGATCTTGGCTGTGCTAGTTCACTTCTTTATATCACATTTAATTTAAAAATAAACAATGAATAATGACTTTATCTGGGTTATGGAGCACTGCACTACAACTCCATTTTGTGTTTAATTATGAAAAGCAGGAGGAATTAGCGTTTGTTATGCTCTAGTACCGCAGTCCGCGTCATTTCACAAAACCCACATTTAACAGCAAATAAATCCAAGGGATATTCCAAGATCTGGGTGGAGATATATTGCGAATTAACAAAGTATAAGTTAATAAGTTCGTCATCCAACCGACTTTGGAATGTTGCTATTATCGGCTAGTAGACGACCGATTCGTGGAGAATATTGCACCGGATGAGGCATGCGGGTGTTCTCCGAGCTGGCTGATTTGGCTGCAAACGTTTCATCGTCAGACTAGACGATATCATCAGTGCGATTTATGTGGGCCACTTACAGATCCAAGTGATTATTGATCACTTGATTCGAACGTCAAGAGTCGATTGGTCCACGTGTACTGACCGTGTATTGTTGCCTAGAGTCCGCCTCAGTGAGGTTCCTTCGTCCAGTTGATCTGGGGCGGACTATTCTTTTGACTCTCAGTGTCTCATAGGCAGTGTCTAGATCTAAGTGCCTGTTGATTGAATTCTCTACCGAGTACCAAGCCTCGATGAACTCGCATGCTCTGCCTATGATCCTGACATTCTCCAAATCAAATTGATGATTCTCGGCGTCCATATGTACCGACATCAGGGAGTTCTGGTCATGTCGGCGGATGACTAGGCTATGCTGATGTAGCCTAGTGCCGAGCTTTCTTCATGTCTGGCCCACATAGTATTTGTTACAATTTTTGCAGTGGATTTTGTAAATCACACCACTTGTTTCTTCTATGCCAAGCCGGTCCTTGCCATTGAGTGTCTGACGGTTCTGTCGGCTTTTGATATGCGCGAACACAAAGTCTTTTGCGGCACTCCAGACAGCTATACTTTTCTGAGTTGCAGTGAGTGACCTCTCAGTTATGTGTCACAGCTGTTTCAGTAAGAAGCGGTTGCGCAGAATAAATTGGGCTATTATCAGGTCTCCTTTAAACCGGTGATACGGTCTGCTAAACACTCCCAATGGTTGCAGCCTCAGCTTGTATTGGAGATTTTGTATTCCAATGAGGTATTTGCACCTCCGAAGTTGGGGCTAGTCTAGTGCATTAAGGTCGTATTTCAGCCATAACCATCAGGCTTAAATTGCGTGTTCGAGTTGACGGCGCACATGTACACTGAGCATTTGTCGGAAAATAGTGATGCATATTTATCCGAACGCCCATCGCGACAGCCTGACTTGTTGGTTACTAGATTTCGAGGCCTTGTAGGAATGCCTAGAGAAACCTAAGGCATGCTGAACCAGGCCAGGCCGACTTTCGTCGAAATCGAGACTGCATTGATCTCATCATCACTTGTCTCAATTGCTGGAGCACTGCCATGTTTACTGGTGACCCACCATAGTCGTATTTCTCGACATAAAATGTGCCTTCGATTCAGTTGATTGACGGGCCTTTTGGGACTGTCTACTCAGGAAACGTGTGCCTGAGAAATTTGTAAATGACATAAGAGTGATGTAGGCGCGTACTTCGAACAGAGTGAGGGTTTATGGCAATCCTTTCAATAGCTACAGCGGTGTGTGCCATGGATGCCCCCGTCGCCTTTCCCCTTTAACTTCCCCGTTGATGATGCCATGGAAACAGCGTTTACTGGGCACGACTTATAAGATGGGGAGCAGCTTTCTGGTGACTGACTTCTTGACTTGAGCTATACCGACCATATTGCCGTAATCGGTGGCAGCTTCCGAAGGCGCCAAGTATCACTGGATTAATTATCACTGACGGTCAGTCATTTCGGGCTATGCTTTGCACTGTCAGAATGCAAAATGCTGCTCAGTGATTGGCAGGTACCAACCACTGCGCTGACTCTTGGTTGCGGTTAGCTAACTGTCGTCCAGAAATTCAAGTATCTCGCAGATAAATCAGCACCAGTGGGATCGAGAATGAGCGCAGGAACCGTATATCAAACGCTGGATGCGCTTCTGCCCATCTCCGTCACCAGTTTTGCTTGCGCATCACTCTCATCCTGAAGGGTAGGGTTTACAAAGTAGCCATCCGTTCAACACTCCTGTACGGTTTCGCAACATGGCGCATCAATTCGACAGACATAAAGAGGCTACTTGCGTTCGACCATCACTGCCTTCGCAGTTTGACTCATGTCTGGTGGGAACACCACGTGTGCAATGAGCATCTTAGGAGTCGTGAATTTGGTGCAGGAAGAGCGAGTCAACGGCCTAGCCCCAGTACTGCTTGCACCAGGGTCCGATGGCTAGGCTACCTGTTTAGCAAGCCAGCAAACCTCCTAGCTTTCGTGCCCGGGTTCTGGATGGAAAACGGGAGGAGAGGTCCAGAAATGAATTGGTTAAGAGGAACGAAGTCTCGTTTCCAGGTTGGCGTTGGTTTTTGTCTTCAGACTGCCGGGCTAGCGTTCGAAGGACGATAAACACGTTTGATTGGATGTACTTGTTGCAATGGCGAGTAGCCGGCACCAAGGAGATTTGTGTTGTGAGTCGCTTTGTCCCTCCCCTCCCCTTTAGCATCCCCTTCCACCAACGATCTCATACGCCATTCATAATGTGATGTGCAGCATTAATTTGTTTATTAATTTTTCTGTTTGTGATTTCTCTTATCTTGTATTACGTCACAATTGTTGTTGTGTGTTTGCCACCTCCCGGCCCTGAATCAGTAGTTGGTCTGGTGGTGCATTAATCATTGTCCAACGTTTACCCACCGCTAAAGAGGAGGGTAGGTTGAGCCAATGACTACCAACACGAAAAGCATGCATCTACCGGTTTTCGCCATCATACCGTGCTTGTCAAATGTCTGAAGGGAAATAACTGTTTTAAACAAACTAACAGTTTCTTTGCAACTTACTCTTCCTTGATTCACACCACTGCAATAACAAGCTGTAATTGATTGATCTACTTGTTCCGCCATTTTCATCGTCCCTGCTGAAGTATACGCACTAACCTGAGTTCGGAACGCAAGACACCCATTCCCTCGTGCTAACGAAATCCGCTCAGGCTAGTTATTTGTTTCAATTTATCTGCATTTCTTATCCAATTATGTTATCTCAGAGCATTAGTCAGGTTCAGTTTTAACCCTTTCGACCATAGTGTTCACTGTATTGGAAGGTTACCATTGGCTCGTTCCACAGCTACACAGGCACTTTCATGACCTCTGATGCACGCAGTCCATTGCGCAGACAATGCTCTGTAGACGTAACCACTGCCATCAAAATGTTATAGTAAATTCGTTCTTACACCACAAATCGATTAGAAATGTTAAAATAACTGTTTATCATCACTCCGAAAATTCATGCGCGAAAGGGTGAATGTTATCTTAATGTCGCTTTCACAGTATAGGTTAGTGGCATTTCGGCAGTGGGTTGAACCCACATCTGACAATCTTGTTGTGATCTGGTGGGATCAGTGAAGGAGCGAACTGACGTTTGTTGACTTGACCACCGTCGTATCATTGGAGTGTCTAGTGAACTCGAACTACGTGTAATGGCCAGTTTTAACCCTTCGCAAACCGGACTACGTGGACCTGTAAGCACTACTTGAATTAGTTGGACAGCGACATGATTAAGAAGTATAGAGGAACTAACAAAAGCTGGTTGATTTGTGTTCATCATTATCATGGAAGAGTTTACGAAATGAACCATGTCGATGGTTAGACCACCTACTCTCAGTTTATAGAACCCATTGCATACATTAATTTTTCAAACACTAATTAAATACAAAAGTGAGTAAAACCCAATGGCCTGCAAAGCATATTTTGTTGCTAATCCTGTTTTAAAGTTCAGAAATGAGCGCTCAGCCTTATCCTTGCGTTAGCACTGGTATCATTAATTTCGGCAAAAGCTTGTTGAAGGTGCATTTGGTTACCTACGAAGGAACTAATCCATTATTTTATGTGTTCTCGCTCGTATTGTAAACCGATGACTTCCTGCATCTCACTAGGGGAAAATCGGGTTGAATGGGCAAGCATTAGCTGCATGAATTCCATATCGTCTTAACGAAGCGATCAACACATGGAATTCGCTATATAGTATTTTCGTCCATCTCTAGCAGGGCAATACCAGCGACTGAAATAGTTCCGATATGATTATCGAAATGGTGCTATTCATGCGGTAAGGATGAACCACGTCACATTAGAATGCTAAGCGCCATCAGTGGTTTCTTGATGTAAGCCCGAAAATATTCTAAAAACCGAATGTCCGCACTATTCGAGTAACGCGACCATGTGCCTAGTGAGAAAAAGTAATGAAACGACGCGAAACTAATCAGAACACGGTGAATTATGCTGTTTAAATGGTCAGTCAACACCAACCTAAAAGTATAAACAATTCGCAAACCTTGCACTAGGCTAGAGACCACATTTTTATTGCCTTATGTAATCTATGCTAAAGGCAACACAACTTATAGCTACCCCATTGAAGAATGTAGTTTCCTTAAGAGGCATTAAACTTGTAACGCATACATTGCAACTCCGCCGAAATGGTTTTCTATGTGGAACGGAACAAAAGTGTAGCTTACAGTGTTTGTTCTATTTTTCCAGAGTCTGTTCAGTCAGCCTCAGACATAAGAATCTTCCCTGTCAAGTCTAAAATGAAATACCTAATGCGTCTTCTACAAATTGAAACAATACGCTGAACAAACCACAGAGATAAGCCCATACAATATGTATGTAGTGCAAATTGCTCACTGGTGTTCGCTTTGAGCCTGTCTATTTCGCTTACCGAGAGACGTGTTCATAATGAAAATATGCCCCTAACGAGTTGGATGTGATCGGTGCGCTATAGGTGACTGAACACACGTAGCAACCTAAATGGCATAATTATCACCATCAAGAACGAATGAATCGGAGAACGCAAATTAAGCATATCATGGTTAGATTTTGGAGTACATGCCATTTGTTTGTATTGTAACATGAAATCGCGATTGAAGCCTTGGTTCCTTTTCAAGAAAATCGTTGCCATTCAGAGAACTGGTACCGAAAACGAAGTGGAGAGCTTCAGAGCTGCTCTGTCCCCTCAATGCAATCCATGACTAACCGGTTTCATCCTGATTTAGACTCATTAGGTAGAGACAGCCTGAGCTGAGATGGCAGTCCGACACATGAACGTTGACGACTTATACCTTTGTCCGTAAGCCCTAGTTCTGACAGCAGCGCTAAAAATTCATTACTGAGTCAAGTACACCTCGCAGAGCAATGGCTTACGAACCAGTGCGTAAGCCGTCATTCCCTAGGTGTTTTTTTCCAAATTCAGCTCACGCTATCACTAACTGACGGGTCCAAATCAGGAAACAACCGATTGGACCTGCATTGCATTGTTGTGAGAAACCAGCTCCGAAATTCTATGCATCGTAAGTATACTCGGTGATATATGGCTAACAAATTGCCCGGGCTTGAGTGCCAAGGCTATGAGTAGTTGTGTCTACGCTGATAATTAGCTACATTTTGTGCTTAAAAACAGGCCATTACTGCTCATATCCACCAATCGCCAAACCGGCAGAGCCAATAAATGACTTTCGCTTGAGATAAATTTTTAAGAACCTATGGCAACACTGGTATCCGAATAAGCCATTCTGTCATTGAAAGGTGCGGCCACAGGCGGATTGATGTAACACAAAAGCAGTTGTAAGGAGTAGGGGATTTATTGGCTTTTGTGACGATTGTCGCATGACAGTTGAGGACCAGCGGCGCTATATGGCAATTAGATATCAGTCATAGCGGTCCGCTGCCATTACCCACGCCTGTCGCATAAGTCGCTGGTTTGCGAGAGTAACATTGTGAGTTCGAATCCGGCAGGATTCCGCGGGTACGCGATACTGAAGAGTCACAATAGGACGGAACGGCCGTTTAGCACTTTCCTGGATGAGCGGCACTTGTCTTTCCAAGGTTAACTCCGACGCGTCTTCACAAAATATCCACTAAATCCCCCTGCTGCCACCAAGTAAGCAGTAGTCGCCTTAGCAACTTACATGCAATCTCAATTGGTGGTGGCTTGCAAAATAATTCGGGCCTCTGGCGGCCAGTCCTTTCCTCTGCACGTTCATAAAATGCATGGCAGTGAATGAAGACCAGCTATGTATCGCAGTTAGATATCAGTCATTTTGGTCTACTGCCGTCGTCCATGACAGTCGCATAAGTCGCTGGCTCGTAAGCGAAAGGTCGTGGGTTCGAATCCTGCAGGATGGTAGGTCAGTCAGATCTGTGATAACATCGGCGTTGAGTGCGGTGGGCCCACCTCACATTTCATAGACACTTCGTTTCTATTGATTGAGACCGTTTATTCTTACACGAAATTTCCGAAAACCATTTCTTAACAACGCTTTGTGCCGCCGCAAAGGTAAAGATGTGTACTGCATCACTAGCTCTCGAACTGACTAATTTCACAAATGTTCTTTTCCTACTCGAGCTTGGCAAAAAAGCTTTTACTTCTTCATTAAGTTGTTCCCAAAACGCTGGATAAAAACCGCTATTTATGTCAGTCACTTTCGTATTTTATTGCTTACTTCGATTTCATAAGGAGCGTCGTTTCATAGAGTGTCCTTGCATAGATTTTGGGAGTGGTCAGGTGTGCTACCCTTATAGCCCCTGTGAAAGTGAAGACGTCTTTCGGTTGTTCTCAGTCACCGTGATAAACAACCGCTGCCGATATGTGGCATTGTTTTATACCACTTGGTCATCAGCCCACATTGATCAGTGTGTTAGCCAGTTATCTACAGAATCATGTCTTGGCAGAACATTATCATCATTATACACGTTAGCTGCAGGTGGAAAACACCTCAGCTGTTGTGCCGTGATACAAAGGACAAGAAAAAACAGTGGCACATCGACTGAGACCCCAGTAAAAGATGGACATCCTTGCGGAGAGCTAACAGCCGGACATCTTGCCGCAGCAACTTATGTTATGCCTAATGAATGCGATCATGATTGGAGGGCGAGGCTAGGCAGGAGGGGAGTGGACAAAGGACCTCACAACACAAACGCCACTGGGGCCGGCCCCTAGCCATATCAGCAAGTGTGTCCGATCAATCGAGTTCATCGTCCTTAGGATCCCAGCCAGGCAGTCGGGAAGCACCAACCGACGTCAACTTCGAAGTGAGGGTTTTCATCTCTCTCGACCAACTCATCGCTTGGCCTCCCCTCGTCCTCTTCCAACCGCACCCCCGGCGCGCAAACAATGCAAGTCATGGGAGTCGGAGTGCTGGCATGCGCATCTCGGGGCCCAGCCATCGGAGCCTGGTGAGTTATAAAATGTTGCTAGGCGGTTCACTCGCTCTTCCTGCACCAAATATGCGACGCCGAACACGCTCATTGCTCACGCGGTGCTCCCACCAGACATGAGCTAAGCTGCGGAGGCAGCGATGATCGAATGTTACTAGCCTCTTTATGTCTGTCGACCTGATGGGCCAGGTTTCACAACCATATAGGAGAGTTGAACGGAAGGCTGCGTTATAAACTCTACCCTTCAGGGCGGTGGATCCCAGCTAGGAAATAGTGGATGATAGCTTGACCACCGGGGTCAATAAGAGGATAGAATATTACCAAAGTTCTAGGTAGGGGTTCAAAGTGAAAGATGGCGCTCTGAAAACCAAGGAATAAGGGTTACTCTACAACTGAAACCAACAAAAATTATAGTGAAACGTCCTTGAATCTGAAGTGCATTTTCGTTAGCTAAATTTTTTGGGTGGTTAGTTTCAAAAAGGCCCAAGAAATGTACGTAGAAATTTAGGTTGTAATTACTTCGACTTAATATTTTCACTAAAAGTAATCGTTCCTTCCTTAGTAAAGAATATTGAAAATGACGTAGCTCGGGCTATTTGCGTAACTCTAGCTGTAACAATGGTCCTTGGCATAAACAAAGTTACGGTTTCTGCAGCTCAGCGATAATGTGATCTACTAGGCGGTCCCTAATGTAATCACCTCTGATTTGAATTAGAACTTAGGACCATCCGATAGGCTGATATCTGGGATAATACGAGTGCTTATAAAAGTTTACATGACTTAATTAACGGCACAGCTGATATATCAATCACAGTAACTGCACACTACCATATAGCTAGTTTAAATGCGCCGATTTCTTTATTTGCTGAATATTCTCTCACTACTGATATGTAGAAACAAAACCCATATTCCAGTCCAATACGCATTATCTCTTGACAGAATTATTATAGAAAAAGCGACAGTGACCTATACAGCAAGTTTACCTTGCCCGAGTCGCTTTCCTTAAAAACCGACCGGGTTGGCACAAAGTTCATCCCACTCCAGCCGACCGTAGTGGCTTGATGCGGTTCGTCCACCCGTTGCTTGATGGGACTGCGCACCAGGTAATTTCTGCAGTTAGTCGCTTGCTCTGTACTTGTTCTCGTCTTGCCCTGCACATAGTTGTAATCATTCAATGGCTTAAATGTTTTAATGTGAGCATTGAGGGCGTTCCTATCCACAACGTCTGTACGACGTTGTAACTCATGTTGGGATTGTCCCAGTGTCTTCGTTGAGTGAAAGCGACTTATCGTAGGTTGAGCTCTCAGTGCATGGGCAGGCTTCAATTCATAAAAGCCGTTAGCCGATGTGGACATGGTGTTGAGCGTATGCACAGGCGTGGGGGCTTTTGGATGACTCACATATTTTAGGGACGCTGAGGTTCCGCTTACGCTAGACTCAGCATGGTGATCAACTGGTTTCGCCTATAATAAAATGGATGAAGGTTGAAATATATAATGCAAAATGTCATCAATCTAACATAATGTGATGTCATAGAAATTATATAAGGCTCCGAATGTTCCTGCACTACTTATCCGGATGATATTATTGATAAGTTTGCAGGAATTGACAAAGTGTTGTAATAAAGGCTTCTTATTTCAACGGGATCTTGACACTTCAAGAAGTTGCTTTATTCTCACTTGGTGGACAAATATTCAGCTCTTGTTGAAATGGGTACACTGACAGACGCTATACGCGACGCTGATGTTACCTACTAGAGTCCCAAAATGTAACGCCTTTTGATGATATAGTGGTAAATTTTCTTAGCATTTGAACGTGCTGTTTCAAAGGTCTGTATAATGCTGTGATTAAATGGTTTCGTTTCTGTAAAACCGCTACATCTGCATGCATGATGATTTCAAACACATTTTAGATGCACTCCGTCGCAGCACCCTCTCAGTCACGCAAGCACCAACCAGAAGCATCAGACAGCTGTTTCCAAATTCTGGGTTTCGGTAGTGTGGCTCGTCCCTCCGTCCTCTGCCGGGTTCCGACCACACGAATTCCGGATGCAGCAGTTTGGGCCACTAAGCGATGGCATGACTGACACTTGACCACGATATAGCGCGGCTCATCCTGCACTGCTATGCCCGCTAAGTACGGAGCATAGCAGATTAGTTGGTCTCAGCAGCTACGAGTTTCCTTATAGTAGCTGTGTAAGACACAACATTTAGAAGCTATACTGACGGACTTTTGATTTCTGATGAGTAGTGGGGAATTTTGTGTAATATAAGATGTAGTCTGTCGTGGCACAACCTCCTGGCATCAGAAAGTCGTGGAATGGGAACCCAGCATGGGACCGATGGAGGCGCACCACTGCTGAAATCAGAAGGTGGAAACGGCTGTCTTTTGATTCATCAAACTTGTGGGAACTTGAGGGGCTGCGAAGGGGCTGCGCCAAAATACGTCCAAAATTACACAAAAATTCACACTACATCCCTATTCAAAGCAAATTTCTGACACAGAGTAAAGTTATTTTTACGATCACGTGCGATATTGATGAAGCAATGTGAATACCGGCGAATATATAATGACACGTTTGCAGTTTCTGAAATAAATGTATCTTCTGGAAGGGTGCATAAAGGTATTAAATTCACCATAACAAACACATTTAAACCCGTCCCAAATCAGTTGTTTTCTATACAATCCATAAATGTGAGACAGAGCCGTTGGATTGGCCGTTGTCGCTCTCCCCGACACATCATTTTTGCACTATCTACTATGAACGTATCGATTTTAGGAATATTGTGAAGAATTACTTGGCTTAAAAAGTTTAAGGTCATTGAGGTTGCTCAACTCCACCGATAGTTGGAAAAGGTCTTTGATACACCGCAAGTAACTTGCAGTTCCCTACTTTCATCTAAATGAATCATGCTTTTAAGAGACATATTTAAAAAAGTTCACCACGGCAACCGGATCAAGAATCATATGATTATTTCAAACAATATGCGATCGTAGCTCAATGACTCTGGACTGTGTATTCAACTGACAAGTGTGTACTCCTTTCCCATCCTGTTTTACGCTTGTAAAATTCTACTATTTATTGTTGTTGTTTTGTCACGTGCAGTATATATTATAAAATGCTGAAAATGCACACATCCGTGTGCATTGTGCTTATGTTGAATTGATTTGAAGATGCTCATCAAGTTAAAAACCACACGTACACAAATGAAATAATTTAATCTATTTGCTTTCCTAAGCTTGGCAGTTTTAACACAGGTTAGTGCGAGTTCCGTTGCAACAGAGGCCAAACACATTTTAGCGAGAGCTGTGCCCTTCAGCACTCTCAAAGTAGAAGAGGTCTTTGTACAGCAGCAATTAAAGGCAAAGATTACACAAATTGCCTTAGGTTCTCTGTTTTCATCCAAATTGTAGCATCCTTATAAATTCTCGACTGCTAAAGCGCTTTATCTAACAATACAGTTTTGTTAAGGCAAAGAAACATTCATTGGATGCAGATGTAAGCAATTAAATTTATTAATGTCACGCCGCCTGAGATGAATTGATCTTCTCAGAAAACCCTAACCGACTCAATAAGTAGATCAAAATCACCAACTTCTTGGGTAAAAACTTGGAGCGCAATCTATGCAAGTATCAAACTAAGGGACCTTGTGATATCCGATTTCCTAATCCCTTGTTAAATGCCCGGAGAACAGCAAGCATCACATGTCAGCACACGCCCGGAAATGCACTGTACGCGCGTTTCATCCTTTCGGGAATCGTCAGCACTGCGCACTCCATCGGACCCTGGGAGGGCCCGAACTCGCAACTCGACTGTTGCCAGTCCGTGGTTGAGACCACTGAGCTACGGGGGACGGCAACGACCATCGTGGTCTCAACCACGGACTGGCAACAGTCGAGTTGCGATTTCGAGCCCTCTAAGGGTCCGATGGAATGCGCACTGCTGACGATTCCCGAAAGGATGAAACGCGCGTACAGTGCTTTTTCAGTCGTGTGAAGGCTGTCTGAGTGAGTCTAAATGTGACGAATTTCTATCTAGATCTGCAGCTGTTGAAATCATTAAGAATGCGTTGGATACGCTATAAATTGCCCCCAATGGCTTAATAGTACCTATCCATGTGTGATGTGGTAAATTGCAGTAGCCCTTAAAACACGCTCGTTTGGAAGTATGGAAGAACAGTTGTTAGAAAAGATCAACAACTTTTATACAACGATTACTTGGTATGTGTACAATACTGCGTGGGCAACCTTAGAAGCCTTTTTGATATCTAAAATACCGTATGTTTGTACGTGCTGTTGCTTCATGTATACACTTTTGCTTTGTCTTCAAATTTCTGTTCCGTACACGCAGTAAAGCTCAGAAATAAACGCCTATATCTATTTCAACGCACCGATAATTTCTGATATTACTGCAGTTACATCAATCTATTGAAATTTGCGGACCTTAGCTTCATACTCGCTCAAAGCTGTACTGGAGAGAATTGAATAAGTTGTCAGTATGTAATTATTGCTTCTCCGTTCTTACGCGTATATTGGTTAGCAACGGGGCTTGTAAACGACAATCGCTTACCGATAATAAGCAAGTTAACATTTTTCCATTTCTGCGAAAGCATCGGGACGGGTGTTAACCAGCCATACTGGTTGACGAAAACCGGTAAATTTTAAAACGTAAAAGTGAGTTTACTAAGCTCCTAATCACTGAGACAAATAAAACAGCGTACAACTCACATAAATTCGATTGTCAGTTGCACTTTGTTTGACGATGTTACTACCGGGTTGCTGTACTCTCGGATGTGTGGTGATTCCATTCGTTACTTCTGGGTGCGTGGACTGCTCACTGCACCTATGCAACGTCATGTTCGTGCTTGCAACCTGAACGCTGGAAGTCCCTTCGAAAGTACGGTCCACACCATTCACACAGAGAGTTCGCAGTGAAGCACGTTCCTTGCTTGCGGTAAAGTATCTGCCACCCTCAGTTACCTGTACGGAGCAGAGAATAAGCTTTATTCTGGTAGGCTTATAATACAGTCAAAGCTATTGGGCATTTTATTAAGGGTAAGGTAGTTTTCCACAGATCACCTACATTGGCAACTGCCTTGCTAGTTAAGAGAGGTCTCGCAGCTCAAAAAGGTACCACCACCATTTTTTAAACGCTGGAAGCAATTGGGCGAAATTTGCGTTATTCGTCCCTAAGTTAACCTCAACTTTGATGTTTGCCTACTTAGCATGAAATCGTTGTGCTAACTTGGTACTCATAGATTGTGTTACAGGCATAAAGAAAAAGCAATATGATGGCTAATGGCTTGATATAAATAAATATAGTTATACAGGCATTCAATAACGAAGTTACATTTTCCAGGAATCGTACAAGGGAGGTTGATGCGCCTATAGTGCCGATCATACGTGGAGATTTTACTACCTTAAATTCCCAACTTGTTAGTTCTGCAACGAAACAAGTGGTCCGCAAATGCGTCTACCGCCTTGTTCCAATCTTCTATTCAACATAGCTACAGCAAGGCTAAAAGATTATATACATCCAAGAGATAGAAATGAACAAAGAAAATACTAATCGTGTACAGGAAAAAGCTCCCAGCAATTACCTTCGCTTATTCGCATCAAGCGCTCATACAGATAACCCGATTCATCTTAATTTATAATAATGACATGGAAAAGTTAACCCACTGACCCGTTGAACCAACTGTCCAAGAGCGGCGACCGAATTGCCTGGTCACGCCGTATTGCTAATGTGATCATCTTCAAGTAATTGACCTAAAGTATAAATATGACGGAGACCAGAAAATGGGCTTAATTTTTGTCGCATACTTACCCAACACCTCATGCGAAGTTCTTTGGTAAGCAGTTTTGACGCAATATATTAACACCATAAGTCTGAATAAATTTTCTCATTCAAAGTATAGAACGAACAGCTACGGGTTTGTAACAATGAACAGTCCCTCTAACCGTATACCTACCCCTTCCTTCAATTTTTGCTTTCGTTTTCTAACGTTACCGTTTTAACGAAGTATATCAGTGGGCGCCACAAATGTCTTGCCTCAACCCCAATTGTTAAGTAACCCAGTAAGCAACAGTTCACAGTGAAAGTGATACCTGCAGTTAATGCGGCTAGAAGAGCAAATAGTTTCTAGTTTATGGTCTTATCATTATTTAACACCAGATTCATCTTTAACTAGCATTAGTTCAACATTTATACTAACGCATGCACGGTTACTATTTTACTTACTTCAGGTGGAGTCGTGCTAAACTCGGTGCTCTGGTTGATGAGAAGATTCACCGTCGCTAGACACAACCAGACAGTCACCACGCATTCAGAAAAGTGCTAGACGACCGTTTCGTCTTTCTCGGACTCGTTAGTAGTGCGCGCCCCCCAAATGCCGCCGTGTTCGAACTCCTACGGGCCAGCGACTTATGTCACAAAGCCATGGGCCGGTCTCTGGTAAATGTTCTCCATACTCGATCTTGTCGTGCACAAAAAGTACACACCATAATCGCTGGCGACTGGTCCTCGTTCTCAATCCCAGAGCTCCCATCATCCGAGTTGTGCTTGTTTCTCTTTATTCGTCAGGCACAGTACTCGTACATAATAATCATATCCTATTGTTTCTGTTACCCATTTATATGAAGGGCACATGGTTTCAGAGGCTTGTACATCAGCTTTGCATGACCCGAATGCATCCATAAATGCAAAGGAATATAGGAGTAGGAAAAAGTGTTTAGAAGCTACTGATGATAACTCAAAAAATTCAAAATGATATCGCCAATTTATATAAAAAAACCCACCGCTGCCTAGCCTCTTGGCCATACATGATCCTGTAATATGATTCCGGTCAACCAATCTATTTCAAGTACTGAACAGTCTCCAGTCGGTGGTCTCGTATCAGACATTTGAAAATGTATTATGCCACTTCGCCTGGCACCGTGGTACTCTTGTGACTGCGCTTCTCATTCTTATTTCGCCGCTATGCATTTGCTACTGAGCGCATGCAAGTATAGCTAGGCCAATTCGACAATAAGTCATTACGTGTCAGGAGAAACAAACATTGGCTGTGGATGAATATTGAGCGTTGCGCGCTCAAATCACTGCACTCTACGACCAGTTTCCAACTTGGTGGTTCTCAGCAGGTTGAGATAGCTTGTATCGATTTGCCCGAGGTTCATTTCAACGCGAATCGCTGTAAGCACTGCGATTGCACGTCGTAATCAATTCACACGAGTGCTTTAACATGAAACCACAATCAAATACTTGCTATTCTTGTCAATATTCCGCATTGGTAAGCCTTTATTCATTGAATTGCTTCAAGTCCACAAGCGGTAAAGTTGTCTGGATGAGGTGCTGCGTTATTGGCTTGTTTATTGACTTTTGACTTGCGCGCAAAGCAAACTTGGACCTTGCGAGAGGCTGCTTAGGCGTCAACTTGATCATCATAATTATCAGCAACTGGCAAAGTTGATTTAACATCACAGTGGAGCGTAAACTTTGATGACTATAAATTACAGTCAGAGGATAAGTTGGAAACGATGTTGTTAAATGGGTCCTTAGTCTTTGAGTCCACGGTATACGGTTGACTGCTTGAAGGAAATTAAACATTTTTTAATTTTTAGTGCATTACCAAGAAAATGCAGTTTTTAGTAAACAATTGTATTTCATAACGTGTCAGTATGCACAGCGCTACAAGTGAAGTCAAATTAAGCGTTTTCTACCAGTGTAGGTATATTTTCAACATTTTCACACCAACACTGCGGATTATAATACAACAACACATCTATGAGAAAGAACAATTGACCTCAGTGAATGAATATTTGCCTCTTCAACCAGGCATAGGTCACAAAAACGGGGTTTCATTCCTGTTGGGTCGACTAGTAAAGATGATAGAAAAAGCAGGATGGAATTTTGATGCGATGAGGTACGAGAATATACAAACTTTAAATTTTTTCCGTATGGAGGAAGTAAATATAACGCTGGCTAAGATAGCGTGTGATGGATGAGTGGGATCATTGAAAAACTTGGATTAAAACTTGATGTATACATCGAAATGTTTGTTGACAATGAAATCTTTGACCGTTTCTTTCTTTAAACCAGAACAGCGAGAAATAAATTGCATCGAACGGACAAGTAGGACATAAACTTTTTGAAACAGCCCAGGGACAAACCGGGGAACAGTATAACCAGTGAGGGAGAGTACATGCAATTAAAAGTTTAAAATCAAAGCGCAGGGGAGGGACAACATTTTAAGTCTGATGGCGTAAAAATAGAGCCTCATAACTTTTTAAATATTTAAAGTACATATGTAGACCACGATAGCACGTGAGCTAGGAACACTGATATTTTATGATAGGAGAACGAGGTTCGCTTTTGTTGTGCACAATAATGGGAGGTACATATGTAAAAAGGGTTGAAGTCTGTTGGGATATTGAAAATAGGAGATTACGTCAGAAAACTAGGAGGGGTTGAGAGTGAGGGAGCGGAAGCTGGACCAACTCACTAGTTTGGCAAACCCTCATCGGAGCTTCAAGAGTCCTCGAGGATTTGGGTTATGCAACCCAGGTCGACGTCATCGGCATATTTACTGGCTATGAAATTAAACGGAATATGGAGACTATCGAAGTAGACGGATAATAGACAGGGGATAGGATGACTTCTTGCAAAATACCACAAATGGCTGGGAACACCGAAGAGTTTCTGCCGCAGGGCTGTGTGAAGGGGGTGGTTAATCACGCATCCACTACGCACATGTAGTGGGACGCCATTTTCGGACAGGCTGTTGAAAAGTAATGTTCTATCAAGGCTCCCAGAAGCGTTGGTGTATTCGAGAAATAGGAGCGGTGCACTCTTGCATTGATTATCCAACGCGATGGCAATGGAACTAACTAGATAAAACCAGCATTCAGTATAAAGCACCCTGGTCTATAGGCACTGTGACACTCTCAATATAATTGCCTGTGAAAATTCCGGGAATCAATAGTTTTTCCGATACTTTGGCAGCAAGAACTTGCAAGTATTGGTCGATTTTTCTGAAGTCTTTTTAAGGCACTGGTGTAATTTTGGATAATTTCCAAATGTCGGGGATGGTACCATTCGTCCAACCTCGATTCATGCTTTCTCTCAGAGGTGTTGTTAAAACAGGCACATTCTTTCAGGGCGACTGCTGACAGATCATCCGGTCCAGTAACCTTGTTTGATTTCAGTCTTGTGAGCTCATTGTAAATACTTGTCGAAACAAATAAAGTGGGATTCTCAGTAGTGGCGAATGAAGGCAGGGAGTGTGTGTGTATGTGAGGTAATGAGTAGCTGAACACAGCGATGAGTTGGTCTACGTTTTCGGTGATGCGTGCTCTGAAATAAATCCTTCGGAAACTTGTGCTAGAAACATCCATGGGTTACGGCAACTGTCGTTGCCTAAAACCGTCTGAATATAAACAGCGTCTAACCAGTTTATTTTAACTTTTATAGCTATGGACAAACGATTAATATATCGAATTATCGTATGTTTACCAGCCTGTTCTTCTTTTATCCTCAGTTTCCTGAGCAATAGAGATGAAAAGCTTTCATTTCGCAAATAAATTGTCTCAGGGAGACAACACAGATCAAAACAAAAGTTTATGTAGTCTGTGAGGTGATGGCACTGATCTGACTAATCACGGTTTCTGAAATTAAAAAATCAGTTGATTTGACTTTAACCATGTTATCCACTATGCAGTGGCGTCGTTTAACATTTCCGGATGGCCCTTTACTTCAGCACAGCAATTTGTCCTCACTTTATAACTTGGGAAATAGCTTTACAATATAATGTTTGGAAGTACCAAGAGTTGCACGCTTTTGTGTGGAAAAGTTTTCGTTTGTTACTAAAAATTAAATCTACATGCGCCTCGTCGGTAGGGAATTTTACCAAATTACCTAAACCCTTGATGTTAATAAAACTTGTCACTTCTATTGAAGTGCTCGGCGAAAACACGCATGAAAT